GGTGCTTCACCCTAGTCGGCAAATCACTCTGATATTGTTAGGCAAGTCACACAAAATCGGCATTCAGGAAATTGTTAAAGTGTCAAAGAAACTTAGCCGTATGTAGGCATTAAGACAATAACTTTAGTTTTGCGATATTTTGAAATATTGTTTGTACAAATTGTTGTCTAATATTATGCCCCAAACCATATTAGTTTGATTAAATAACTCAGTGTGTCAGCAGAGTCGTAATTTAGAATTCGAGTCGGGAGGCTAAAATGTGAAACCCATGTTTTTAAATTGTCATTTGAAGTGGCAAAACTCAATAATTGCGGGCAAAAGGAATATTGTGATAAGTTGCAAGATCCTCATGTTTTTAAAATTTAATTTAGAATGTAATGAATAATATAGAATAAAGGTAGAAAGCATACATCAAATACAAATAATTTATACTGTAAGCCGTATATTGAAGCCGATTAGCCAAATATCACAATCACCTGCTAATCATAGTACAACATGTTTATATTGAGTTTTAACTCCCGACTCGAGTTACTGACTTATTTTTTTTAGTTCTATTTGTTTAACCTTAGTGTGGACATATAGCTTTTTATAGATTTTATAGTTTAATATTTTTAAAAGCAGAATGCCCCTGCACCACAGTTCAACTTCAACATTGAGAATGAAAAAACTTGTTTATTGCAACTCATGGTAACTAACTAGGTAAAAATTTAGTATCTGGTTCTGGATTAAAATGTTTATGTTAAAATGTTTCATGGGAATAGCAAAGTTTATACTTAAATTAACTTGCTTTGTAGCTCCTGTTGAATGCTAGGAATAAGGAGTTGATACAATCCACCCAGAGATATACAATCGGAATCAAGAGCCAAGGTCGTCAATCCCAAAAAATTCTCTTTGAGAAATCCATGGGTGTCTGCCAATATAAACAATGAAGATACCATCTCAGCAGTTGCTGATACTACTTCGAAAAAAAGCGATTTGTGCTGTATTTCTGATCTTGGAGATTACCACTACCTTTACTATAATTTGGGATTCACCTTCCTTTACCACAACTATCAACTCCCTGTTATTCCTTTTAGTTTTCCAGATTCTATTTCACCTTCCTGAAACTACAGATTCTGCTACATCTCCTAATGATTCTTTAAATTATGGCAATGCAAATGCACAATCCGAAATCAACCAGAAATCAGATTGGAATAACTGGATCGAATCTGTTGCAACCTTGGCTTTCATTGCCAAGTGAGTGTCAAACTCTAGTAAATGATGCTAAAAAGTCAGATATTCCTAATATAGAACAATTGATTGAAGAGGCTAACAACACCACCAAAATGTTACAAGAAAACTGTGGAAGATTTCTTGACAAATCCGAACCTGTACTCCAGGATATCCTGCAAACAAAGCCCAAAGTTAACAATTCTAACCCAGCTCAAATTTCTGTGCAGCATGATCCAGCTCTACATAGTGTGGTCCATAACGAAAATCAACCAGGGTACCTGGTGGAACTTGGTCCTTTTAGCCAAGATTTTCATGTTTTCCAACCAACCCAGATATAAACACTGAAAAAACAGAATTTTTTATTGCGATGGTATGATGAGTACCCACATTTAGAATACTGTCAAGATAAAGATGCTGTTTTCTTTTTCGTATGCTCATTATTTGATAGCACACCTTCAAAGGAGAAATCAGACCCCAGCTAGAAAGTACAGGTGTTAGGAAATGGCACAATATGAAAAGTGCAAAACCAAGCCAGGAAAACTTGCCCAGCACTTCTCTTTTTCCAAAGTCCTAAAGCATCTCTTGCTGCATACTGTCACTTTCTGCAGAGGACCATATTGATATCCAACTTGATAAACTTAACATCCGACTTATATACCATGCCAAGCACATCCCTGCAACACCATGATAGAGCATAGTTGTAACGCAGGCGTCGTTGTTCGGGAAATGTTTGAGATACTACAGGCACTTTATGTGTTTTTTACACCCAGCACAAAGCAATTCCAACTGCTAAAAGACGAAATTGAGAACTGCCTCATGCTCAGAAACCTTTCCAAGACACACTGAAGTGCAAGAGCGGAAAGTATCCAAGCTGTCTGTACATTATTTGAAGTGATTATCAATGTCTTACTTGGGATTGCCAACAAAGCAGACAGAAAAACCAAAATGCAAGCATTTGGTTTAAGAAAAAATATGCTTTCACTTGACTTCGTTATTGCACTAATGTTTATGAAGAACATTGCATATAAAACACAAGTCTTGTGGTGCAGCTACAATCAGTTGAACTTAATATTTTGGATGCAACTGGCCTTGTTGAAGGAACCTTAAAATAATACAGAAGTTTTAACAAAATAATGGATGATCAAATTGAAGCATTTGTAATCTTCCCTAAAAAGCTGGGAATTGACACGGAAGCAGATTTCAACCAACGCCATCACACTAAGAAAACACCCAGACATGTGGACGAGCATGTCGGAACAACCACTGTGTTTTACTTAGAGCCTAATACAGAAAACAATTAGAGGTCGACAATAGTTAGTTGTACAATGATGGGAATAGTATTCAAAGAATATTTGAGGTTCTATACTTAAAGAGTAAAATGCATCTCCAAAACAAAATTTGTCCAAAAGGAACAAAACTTGTTCTATTTTTTCTTTGTCACAATCAGATAAACTGCCAAAACCCTTGCTACCATCCTTTGAATTGTTTGTATTGTTATTGATATAAAGACTTTGTTGTTCGTATTATTATCGACATAAACATTCCAGTCTGTTCTTCCATAATTGAATTGAAGAATTCAATACCAAATGACATCATAAACCACAGTGCAATTTTAGCTCATGACATGAAAGTATTGAGTGTCCTTGATTTTTTAGCAACACTGCCTAGATCCTTTACTAGATTACCAGATAATCAAGAAGCTTCTTGTTCACATTGTAAAGATTTCTGATCTCTTTATCTTTCTCATTTAGTGCATTCAACATTTCAGAATACAATTCTCTTCTTTGAGATTCTTGCAGCTTTCTTTCCATTTCTCTAGTTCATTAGACATCCTATAATTTTCAGTTCCCAAATCCTTGACAGAAATCATTATTCTTTGAAAATATGGTATCGTCTTGAAATGGAATCTAATTCCTTTCTTATCAGGGCCATTATCATATGTGCTTTTAAAGTAACACATTTTTTAGAACCTAATGGAGTTAAACCATCATGAGCATTCTGATGCCTACACCTAACATCATCAGTCAGCCTAGAAAGTACTTCCTTCACAGAGGCACAAGAATCACTATCAGCACCACTCCTAGTCAAAGATTAAACCTTGGCTTTGAGCAAAAATGTATCCATTATTTGCTGTGGTAGACATTGTGTCCCATTATTAAACAAATTCATGAGCACATGATTGTGTGATTCAAAGGTGATTGCAGAATTAGCCCACAGTGGACTGCAGTCCTTGACACAATGTGCCAGGTGAGTCAAACAGTGAACAGTATATTTGCAATTTGACAGGCCATGCAACTCCTCCATTTCAATTACACACTTTGTTAGGCAAACCTCAGAAAGATCAATTTCACTACTAGAGATTGAGTCACCTAAGAGTGTATAAATTCCATAAACAAAGAGAAAGAAGTGCTGTAGTAAGTCTTTCCCCATGGTGCTTTGTATCTACCCATAGACCCATCTATGCTTCATGACCCCTTCACAAACAGAATGCATGTAATCTGTAACTGTGCCTTTGACAGGATCAAAAGAAGGTAATAAATCCGGTACGGTTAGGTTTGTGTGTCCCATCTGGGGCTGACAGCAATACATAAAACTTGAAATGCGCTTTAGTGAAGTAATTTATTTTTAAATCGATTTTGTTTTTCAAATATACTATCAAAAACCTACCTAACGGTAAGGTTTATTCCGGCTCAAAACATGCTATAAAATATAAAGTAGCATACCACATTTTAAATAAGAGTGCCTTCGGTCATTACTATATCTATGATGTGTACTGAATAGTTTTTCTACATTTTATTGGCTTCACGTTTTTCTTTTCTAGTTATCGATTTGTATTTGTCTCTAATTTGTTGTTTTGTGAATTCTTTTGCAGAAGGACACAATTTCTCAGTTCTTCACTGCAATAAGTTCTTGTTCGCATCTTGAGCAATTGTTTTGATTAATTAATTAATCACGAACCTAACTTTTTTTGACGTCAACATATGCATGGATATATTATCACTTCATATCATTAAACATAATATGAAAGTGCTACTATAATACATTATCTTGAACTAAAACAATCTGTATTTTTTGTCTCTAAAATGTCTCTAAAAAGGGGGATTTTACTTGTGGGGATATCAAAATATTGAACTGGGGGAAGTGGGGGAAAAGAAAGAAAACAAGAGTGGGGGCTCACTTCCATGATGCCGATTAACATGATGCATGACAGAATGCTCACTAACTTGCAGATTTTAGAGTAGTACCACTTGCACTTTTCTGTTTAAATCATTTGCGAACAATTAGAAATCGTTCAATTATTACTCCCCCTCTGCATTCCTGCAAGTTTAAATTAAAAGATATGAAACTGACCAGTAGAAGGTAAAAATGTAACACTTTATTTGTTATTTAAAGTTTTCCATTATTTTTATTATAATCATAATAATATCAGACCTTTGGTATTAGAAAAGCCGGCACAAAGGCTGTCAAACTGTCTACCTTTTTTATGTTATATTGTTTCCATCGTATTAGGCTGGTTTTCGTTTAGGTTTTTTAAATGTGAAACTCAGGGGCGTGCTGGGTCTTCAAGAAGAACAACGAATGAGTAACACTTTAGGGGCCCAAGGGCGCGATCCTGCGAAACAAAAACAAACTAGACAAACTGTCTCCACTTTATTATACTGTATGATGATGTGTTCTATTGGGCACTTGACGTGCATTATTTGATAAATTAAGCAAATTATGATGTATTGTTACTTTGTTAAATGAAATTGATGAAAATCAACCATTATATTATAATCAAGCAAGTACTAGGGAAACAAAAGTCGCTTCATCTCATTACTGTCGGCATATTCTTTAATGATATCTTCCTTGTTCAACTTCCACATTAGTTCATACTCTGTTGCTAGTTGAATCCTCTGGTTCAAATTTTCATGTGTTAATCTGCTTGCCAGTCTGCTCTTTATTATCTTCATTTTACTGAATACCCTTTCACATTCGGAAGAACTGCTTGGGATAGTGCTCAGAATATGATATACTGTTGTTAATTCGGGAAAAACAGAATCCAAGTTCTTGGACTTCAGGAATTTGTATGTATTAATGAAACTTGCTTGTATTGGGTCCAAAATATCAGCTTCATAACTAAGGCAAATGCTTGAAAAATGAAGCAGCTCTTTCAATATAATCTCGGAGTCCATTTGATATTTTTTCATTAATGGCTCTATATTCTGCTTCAAAAGCTGCTTATCAGTAGCTACCATTTCCTTGAATCTTTGAGGCTGAAACAATGACATTGATGCCAGCACACTGCGTTGACTTTGGAATTTCTCCTGTAGGACATTGATGGCTGAGTCTATAGCTGTGTAAAATACTTCTACTTTCCAGTTATCTTTTGCTGAGGTAGATCTTTCATCTACGCCCTCATCCAGTGTCTGCCTTTTCTTCCTACGTACTCGTTGGACTTCAAATTCCATTGATGAAAGTTTCAACTCTCTTGCCAACTTCTCTGCTTTGGCTATCATATCTTGTGCGGCTGAATCTCTCAATAGCTGCAGTTTTTTACTTGCATTGTCCACAATAGATATTGCAACTAGCAAGTCAATACTTCTAGTCTGAAGAGATAAGTTGAGTGGTGCCAGAATTTCAAACAGGTCGTCAAAAAGTAGCAGCGTTGCAAGTGTATCAAATGAGTCAAATTTGTTGAGGAGGCCTTCAGCTTCAGATCGCACTGTTGCATCAAATTCATCAGTGTTCTCATAAATTTGTAGCAGTGTATCCAAAACAACTCTGTAGAGTTTCAGAACTCTATCTGTAGCATCATGAAGTGATAGAAATCTGATTGTATGTGTGCCTGCCAGCTCAAGGGAGCGAAGTTTGCTATTTGTGCACTTCTTTTTGTTTTCTTGAAATATTTGGTTACGTTTTCGAGCATTGCCATACAGAAATGAACGAAGTTTCTGCAGTTCACCTGGTTTTGCATCTGTCCCATATATATTCACAGCAGCAACAGAAGAGTGACAGCAAGCTTTCATTACTAAATTTGATCCATGTGCACCACAATACACATTAATTGACATTGGTGCAAGTTCTTGAATACGAGTGGCAACTCCTTTATGCTTTCCCTGCATATTTGATGCTCCATCAAAAGAACTCCCAACGCATTGTCCCAATGGAATATTGTTTCGTTCTAGAGAACATTTAATTTCCTCAGTGATTGCTTCTCCCGTGGTTACTTCACATTGAACCAGATCAATAAGATGTTCTTTTACCTCCATTCCTTGAGCAAAACGCAGAGTTATGGCCATTTGTTCACATAATGAAATATCAGTGGTTCCATCAGCAGATATACTATAGAATACTGCATCATTTACACATTCAACAATTTTTTTCTTTACCAGATTACCCATTGTTTTGACAAGCTTGTCTTGTGTATTATTTGACAGAAGTGATATTTTACTTCCTCTCCCTTTTGGACCTTCTCCAGGTCTGTGTTGATAATGCTCTCTAACTTGATGCAATTTTGTGGACACAGTTTTATCATATATTCCTAACAAATTCACCAAATTTAGGAATTTCCCAGCACCAGGTTGAAAAGCTTCATTTTTATCAGCTAATAGATAGAAATTGTTCTCATCACTTCCTCGATGAGGTATTGACTCTGAACACATATATCGCAAACAGTCAATGATTCTGTGCAAATACTCATGTAGAACTTCAGCTTCTCTTTTGAACTGCTGTACTTGTTCTGCACATTGCTTAGAAATTTGTGAATATATTGTTTTATCACACATCACAGCTAATAATGTCTCACAAGCAGCAATATGGTTCTTTTGCATTGGATGTTCTTTTATTCGGTTGCTAACATTAACCCACTTATTGTAACCATCACGGAGTACATTACTATCATCCTTTTTAGCAAAGACTAGACAAGTTGTACAAAATATTTTATCAAGTTCTTTAGAATAGCTCAACCATGATCGTTTTTGTTCTATTGTCACTCCACCCACAACCTTCATTTCAAAATAATATTTCTCCACAATATGTGGTGTAGGAAACTTTGGCTGAGCTAGCCCAAGCTGAATAAATGACTTTTTTTGTTGAATGGTCGGATGTGACAGTTGAGTGAATTTCAGAGGGTCATTTTCATTGACTATATTTTCTACAATTGATTCTGTCAAACTTCCAAGTCTATTATCAAAATATTTACTAGATGAGGAAGGTAAACTCATGTACTACTAGTACTACTATTCATACTGGCACTTCTTGAAGTTTAAGGCAGAAGTCTGTGTCTGTTGTGCAGTACTAGAAGAGACAGTGACAATGACAACTGTTCCTGAATTTGTCATAGTTGGTATTGCTGAAGTTGTAGAAGGTTGGACATCAGTAGACATGGCCACTGGCACTGCCACAGTTTTATCTGTGGGAAAATGTGGATATAAGAAGAATATTTCAGAAAAAATCTTAATTATTATGTTTATTACTCTATTATAAGAAGATTTAACTATTTAAGGCATTACAAGAAAATTTTCAACATGAATATTCAAACAAAAATATTACATCTCAATATCACATCAATTCTAATTCTTCTTATATAAAGCTATAGAAATATAAAATGATTTAAGAAGATATAAGAAGAAATTTAGTAAAAAATTAAATCTTAAAATAGTATAAGAAGATATATTAAGAAAAAAGAATATAAGTCGATTTCCAATCCTTACCTGTGGCTGTGGCTGCTTGTACTGCATATGCGGATGCCGAAGCAATCGTATTCGTGAATGAAGTTATTTTCTTTGACTTCTTTGCATCTAAAGCCAGAAGTAATTTCTCCCTTTCCTTCCTTTTTTGAGCTCCTGACTTCATATTGACATTATATCAGGAGTATTATTTTGCACAAAATATTCAGATAATTCAATAATTCATATTTGTTGTTTGGTGCGCCTATACATGTTTAGGTCAACGCAAAGGTTGCAGGAATACTAGTACTTCAAGTAACCTTACACGGTGACGCGATTCTGTAACGAGACGCAAACTTTGGCCACGTACTTGATATGCAAATAAAATAGCTCTTAATAATACAGGCCTAGGACATCATGATTTAGCTAATATACAACTCTTCTATAAAGGTTGCTTTTACAAATTGTTGTGTATTTAACACTTTTTCAAATTTCAATTTATAGTCTAAAGGGCCCATTATGCCAGGGGCCCACAACGAGTTCCCATTGTCTCTACCCTGGCCAGCACGCCCCTGGTGAAACTTAATTCTCCCATTATGCAATACAGATCATCACAGAACCCCTAGGGGAAATTTTTTTCATTCAATTCTCACATTCTTCGCCTATTTTTCTTTGAAAAAATATCCAGGAACAATATTCCTTCCCTGAATTAACAAAACAAGATAAATCGGGTTTTTTGTATTTTGTATTGGACCACCTTAAAAATAAAATGAGTACAAAGGCCGATCTATTTCCAGCAGCCAGTCAGGCAACAAGTTACTCAGTGATGCTTCTGACGACATGCTGTGACGACATATGTGACGTTGCTACTCTGAGTCACCAATCGGGCAAGCTGAAAAATTAGCTTGACCACGGTGGAAATTGAACCTGCGACCTTTGGTTTGCTAGTCCAATGCTCTTCCAACTGAGCTACAAGGTCAAGACAATTCGAGTGGTTGATATTTTGGAACTGAGTCTAGTCCCTTCCATATCTGTATGTCTTAAATTGATTGTGATAATGCGAGTACTCAGGTGTGTATATTAAATGTATATGTGATGTTGCTACTCTGAGACATACAGATATGGAAGGGACTAGACTCAGTTCCGAAATATCAACCGATTAAACCGTCTTGACCTTGTAGCTCAGTTGGAAGAGCATTGGACTAGCAAACCAAAGCTCGCAGGTTTAATCCCCACCGTGGTCAAGCTCATTTCTCAGCTTGCCCAGTTGGTGACTCAGAGTAGCAGCATCACATATACATTTAATATACACACCTGAGTCCTCGCATTATCACCATCAATTTAAGACATACAGATATGGAAGAGACTAGACTCAGTTCCGAAATATCAACCACTCGAACTGTCTTGACCTTGTAGCTCAGTTGGAAGAGCATTGGACTAGCAAACCAAAGGTTGCAGATTCTATTCCAACCATGGTCAAGCTAATGTTTCAGCTTGCCGGGTTGGTGACTCAGAGTAGCAACATCACATTTACATTTGTTATAATATGTTTTAATAATTCAATGCTTACTTGCATAATTACGTTATAATACGTTATAATCTGTAGAGTGTTCCTGAAGAGTGTCACTATTTAAAATATGTACATGTAAATTAATTTGAAGATGATTACTAATTACTAAGTGAAGTCCAGCAAATGGCTTTCAAACAACAAAATGAAAAATTCCAACTTATTTGAAATTAAACTAAGTTACAATGATGGGTTCTATATAAATGCACAAATATTTTAGGAAATGGTTGCAATTTGTTCAAAATACATTAGACTGTACATACCATGTAAATACATTAGTTGTACATACTATGTACAATGTGCATATCATTAAAGCTCCTCTTGATCTGTTGTGTATAACCAACTATATATGATCTCAGTAGTTTTCTTGTGTTTTTTGATTTGAAGTTTTGAATGAAACATGGCTCAATTTACGACTCATTTCAAACAAAATGGCAAACGCATAACAATTTATGTTTCAAGGGAACCCAATTGCAAACGTCAATAAATTCTCAACAGAACAAAATGTGCAACTTTAGCGACTCAGCTCAAGCATGCATATGTTTTCTCTAATCAGTCAAGTGCTCCACTCCTGTTAAGAAGTTAACAAAATTGGACTTATGATGTTCCACTGACCAGTTACATTCTTCACTGTGCACCAGCCATTTAGCGATCCCTACCATCTCCGCTGGAAGTTTCTTATTGTGTTCGTTGTCCAAGAGCAAGGGAAGCCAGTATTGTCGCAACCTGCCATAATTTACGAACACCTCAGATGTGTTGTACGACGCTGGCAATGGATGTTTCTGATCACCTTGGATGAAAAATACCGTGTTGCACTGTGCATCCAGTTGTCGGCTGTCATTTCGGACAGGTCTTTTGCAGACATCGCCTTTATCTGGGAGAACGCTTGCAACATGCTCGGCTCGTTTGCAAAATCTGCAAATATATATATATATAGTTCAGAACTGTGCGAAGCATGCGAAACAATTGCGCATGCGCTTGGTCTAATCTATAGTCATCTTTGAAATATATTCATTTCATGTTTCAGTTCAGTTGTATCAGAATTATCAGAACAAAATAAATCCCAATTATCCTGCATCGAGTGCACAGCTGATACATATTGAATTGTGAAGGAATTGGCAGAGACAGGTATATATAAAATATATCATTTCTCATGTTTTCAACTGGTGTATAAAACGTGCCCACTCCCATAGTTTGAGGTGCTGTTAATGAAGGAGACCATTTAACTACTCGGCACAAATTCAAGCTTCTTTTCATTAATAAAATTTGGTATGTTGCGTTTTAAAAAGATTGTCTACAGGCCCAGGGGTGGATCGTTTTCGTACTTTAGTCAAAAAGTTTCAGTCAAGAAATTCGGGGGGGGCAGACATCACATTAGTCAGGGGCGGTGCAGATGCAATGTGAAAGTGACTGTTTCGCCCAATATCAGGGCTGATCAACATGCCTAGGAAATGCATGATACTACAAATATATCTTGTGAAAATATGTTGGAAAACATGGAAAGGCATTTTCACATAAGACCACATGCAGATTGTTTTTAGGTGCCATCAGTGGCCCAGTACCCCACCTTCAAACCTTTGCACTGGTGTAGAAATTGGTGAATTTAGTAGCAATACTTTACATATTGCAAGTAACCATACTTGATTAAATTTACATGGGTGCCCCAAATACACTAGTTCGATTGAATATTTTGGCGTTTCTTACATCTTCTATAACAAAACAAAATATGAAGATCATCCAAACCTTCCTTTGGAGTTAAGTGTGGTTGAATCATGCAATTAAATAGCAATTTACTTCTTTGTTCCCCACAATCAGGATAATAGGTGAAAGCATTCTTATTTAAAACTGAAGCAATTAAGACCCATTATACAGAAAAAGGGTGACCATTTCTTCTCACTGCAATTAAGTATGCCTTCCTGTCTAACCAAATCAGCTTTCATACAACCAGTATCTAAACATTCCTTAGAAACAGACAATGACACTTTGGCTGAAGTATTGAGCATGCTCTTCCACAACAGAAGAAAAACAAGGGTGCTGAGAACAAAAATCAGCATTAAGGAAGAGCTCTATGGAGGTCAAAATTCTCAATAGCTCCATTAGGCTATTGTTACCCATTTTTACCAAGGACACAGAGCTATACAAGCAGTTTCCAGTAGTATCAGATCTAAAACATGAATGAAACTTAGTTTTATTACATCTTACTCAGTCACTTAGGTAAATATGAATAAATATTAATCTGGCAATTGATAGACTCGAAAGCAAAAACATCATGTTCCACTTTCATTAACCATTAAGTGTGAATAATTGGCAATATAATTATAGAAATATTATATAATAAACTAGTGTTTATTGTTTAAATGTAATCAGGAAACGTGGCCACTTGTATGCTTTACTGGTATGTGTTTTGAATAATTATTTGTGAAATTATAGCACAGTTCAGTGCTCTAAGCTTTGCCTTAATACATTGGGTTGTACATTTCACAGAAGGTATTGGTATACACAAAGTTCACAGAATTTATTATTACACTCCACGATTCCTCAATGCGTCTGCATACGCCAGAGTTATATGCAAATGAAAGCAAAATCCTATGTAAATTTCAATGTGCAATGTGTAAATTTCAACTTTATAGCTTGTGCAGCTTGACAGTTATAACACAAAATACACAATCAACAATAAACAAATGCACGAAATCTTTGTAAAATATTGTTATGTTTACCTTAAGGCCGTACAAAACCTCTTTGTTGTCTTCCGAACAGATATCGGGATGTATGATTCTGCAGCAAAATTTTTTGCAAGGCTGAAGCTGGTGTTGTTCAGTCCGTTTAATAATTGGTCAGTTAAAGGCTTTGCTGTTGCATCCATTTGCTTCTTGAGATTGCCCTCAATAGTTTTAAGATCTTTTTTCTCCAAAGCACATCTCACAGGGTTGTAAAAATCTGGCATGATTAATAAATAGTTTTGTTAATAAAATTTTTCTTTGAAGTTTAA